AGGGGCGGATCTAGGGGTCGTCAAGTCAGTCGCGCGACTGAAGTAAAAATTGCCTACTTAATTAAAAAAATTCGACTCCAGCTATCTATAGCGGCCAGTAGATCGAGTTATTAAAATTTTGAATCGTAGTCCAGTTATACGTTTCATGCTGCGGCAGAGTTTCGGCAAAGTAATGTTAGTCAGTCACGAACAGCGGTCTTACGCATGAATGTTGACGGATTCGGGGGTTGAATTCGGCTATCTGATTGGCTGACGCGCTCATTTCCATGGTTACAGCAATTTGCGACGGATCTGTGGGGAGGCCTGACGGATTTGCAGATTCAGGGGCTCTGTATGAGTCTTCTGATTGAACCATTTAAAAACATTCTGCACTGTCATTGGCTTATATTTTCGACGGATTCGCAGCGTGGGGTATTCGTCAACACGTACGGCATTTGGTGTTTTATACCTCCTGAATGTTTACTATTTCGAACGTCTGGCATGTGAGAAATTTTACTATTATATTTTTACGAGCGATCTCTGCCAGCGATATCTGGAAACATTTTCGACAATATTCAGTTTGCGATTGCGGCAAACGATTTAGAATCTCTACAACGTTTGTATACGGAGCTTGAGAAGAATATCGATGCTTCACGGACAAATTCTGTTGACGAGCTACTGAACGGCAAAGTGAGCGCCATCAACAACACAAGCAGAAGCCTCGCTAGAAATTTTGGCGCAGAGAGCTACATTCCGAAGTATGTTCGAGATAAGAAAGACAAAGCTTGCACTGCAATAAGGTAGAGAAATTTATGGTTTTATAATGACCAAAGCCGTCGGTGTTGTTAATGATTGTTTGACATATGATATTTTAATATTCGCTATGCTGTATTAGCATAATTCTCGCGTCAAGAAGCTAAAATATGTTTTATTCAATGTCCACATTGTAAGCATTTGTTAATTCTCGTGTTTATAGTGAAGTTTTATTTAAGATTTATTTATATTTATGCATCGATCACACAACATGTCGGCCTTATAGAATACTGTTTGTCCATAGCCTATCGACACGGCTTGTTAGACCGCATTGGTCTGGTGTAACATGATGATGTGAAATATTTAATAAGCTAGCTTGAAAAGATCATTGACTGGTAGCCATTCTCATGTAACTAGTTTATTAATATTTGACATAACATCTTTATATCTTGTTAATGTAATAGTGTTTGACTTAGTTAATGAATATCTGATTTTTTTTTTTGGATCTGAGGCTACTAGCAATTATTTGTATAGTTCTGCGTTTTTGGTAACAGAGCAGTATATTTCCTTAATGCATTTGCTGCCATATGATTTTACAAGTTTTACAATGATACACTTATAGGTATATAGTACCAATATGACGACGATTGATTAATCCACAGGCAAACATGTTATTAAATTGCTGCTGAGTTTTAATGTACTATATCATATAGTAATACAGGGTGTATCAAAAAAAGCGCAATCCTCGACTGAAATGTAAATTGCTAAACAAATAATAGACGAAAACGTTAAAGTTTCATTTTAAAGCGTAGCCATTCAGCTTTCTAACAGTGGGTTGTTTCTTAAATTGAACTCATTGGTTCGCGGGTAATAATACTTTACGTTATTGCGATTGGAGATTAAAAAAATTGAGATGGAATAACAAATCGTTCTCATGAAAATAACTGGGTTTTTTCATTAAAACAAAAACATGTTGCATTTTAATAAATGGATTGTAACAATAAGTATAATTACGGCTTTTCTTCCACTATTTTTAACACAGTTTGAAACTTCAAATGCGATATAATTTGGCCTTGGACCATCTAAGCTGACTGACATCAGCTTGCTATAATTTCTGTTTACATTACATCGCAATTCGATGACACTCTGGCTCAGACACCAGAATGTTTTGATTCTATGATTTTTAGCATTCGTTTAGGATTTTCAAACAACCTGGTCTCTTTTAAAATACTTTTAATTTGTTCTTACGTGGTTTTCCAGATGTTGTGACGACAACATTAAAGTTTAAAGAAGAAAATTCTAACATCTAAACCGACTATAAAACAATAACATAGTAAACTTGCATAATTAAACAGCAACTAAAAATGATAGGTTTTACTAAATATTTTCCTGTGCAATTATTACTAGCATTGGAGACAAGGATAATAGTTTGTTTGAAAGAGAAAGAACAGGCTTTGAAGTAAGCCTAAAAGCGTTTAACTAGAAATAGTATTTCGAAAGTTATTAAGCACAAAAGATGAATTGCGTTTATTTTGATACACCCTGTATATCCATAAAATTTTGTATTGGAATTGGATCAATATATCTTTGTGCATTTGTAGTTTCTCTTACAATGGATAAGAATCAAATGTTCGTTTGAGTTTATCAATTTAAATTTAATCTAAATACGTTTTTCACGCCCAGTCGAGACCACGCCCAGCGCTGACAACGCCCCGTCCGCCAAAAATTTTTGACTGAGGTACGAAAAATCCTAGATCCGCCCCTAGCCGCTAAGTTTATAGTGGATTAAAAAAAATAAATAACCTTGAAAAAAGTTACCCACATTTCAATGTTCAGCATTGCCTCAAAAAGAGGAATTTCACTCGGCATTTGTCAAAAAAAACAAATATCTCCTGATGCAATTGAAAAGAAGGTAAGCAATAATTACATAAAATATTTAAAAGTATGCCATATGTACTATTTATTCATATAGGTATTTCATAAAAAAATGTGAAGATGGTGTGAAATGATGATGTGAAATGGTGACTAAAAAGTCGTACAGATTACTTTTGGTTGCAGGGAAAACACAACAAGTAGATAAATAAATATAATCACCTGAAAATAGTATTTTCTGACAATTTCTCAGTTATCAGGGCAACTAAGACCCATATCCAGAACTCCTTGCAAGTCTGTCAATGACATGCTGCTCATTCCTTAGATATAGTATATTTGTAATGGGGGCTGGTAAGATAGCAAATATTAAGACATACAATTTTCAAATATAGCTTGAGGGTTTATCCACTTATTTGCCGAGTGAACCAATGTCTGCGAGTCTTTCCATCACACAGCCAAACAGCAGCCAAGGCACCGAGTCAACTGCTACTTTATATTATCCAAGTCAAGACTCCGATGCCAACGATGAAGTAACACAAACAAGTGCAAGTGTTGAATTCCAGACCGATGAGGTTATTTTTATGTCCAAAGAAGATTATGAAGTATTTGTTTACAAGGCGACCAAAAACATCGATATCAAAGGCGACCTGGAAAAATGGTAAACATTCTTCCTGAGTTGTGACCTGGACCCCCTGTAATGGATCCAAATCGATTCAAAGGTATTTGTATGGAAGTTGGAGCGACAAGTCTCTTCTCGACCATCCATGATGCGATGAGTTCAGATCGGATGTCAGATGAGCGCCAAGAGCTATAACGAAGCTAAGAGTCGATCATTGTTGTAATATATACAATGATTTACTCACAGTCGCAACGAGCTGATTGGTTCCAAGTATCCTTGGCAAGAACACTCCAGCAATGAGGAATCAGCCAGCAAGGATTGGCGTCACTGGGTAGTAGCTAGGTATTTTGACCCTGAAGCAGAGAAGCAAAGAGTTGCAATTCATGACTACCAACAAACTGAAATTAGAGAGATGCGATGTATGGACTATTGTACAATACTAAGCTTGTGGACAGTCTAAAATTGCCATTAAAATCATACAGTGATCTACTCATTGCCTTCAATCACATGCTCGCTAACGGTTTGGAAGATTATCTCAACCACTCCATAGCTCCCTTTCCTGGTGATTGGCCCATGCAATTTTTCATGCGTCAACTAGTGTACAACACTATTTCAGTATCCTTACCTGATTCCTGCAAGAATGTTGTTCCACTGATTGGTCCACTGCATATTTCAGTAAACTCCGGAGTGTGTTTTGCTGAATTTCTACAAAGAAACCAAAACCGTCTATCCCTACTTCTTGAAGTCATCTATATATGAGGGTTGGACTCTTGTTCGAGATACCATCTTGTCAGCCTTCCCAAAGTGCAAGGACATTGAATTTCTTACCTTACTCAACCTTGTTGATAATTATGTGCCACTTGTCCTCAGCATCTACTCGGTAGTCTTCAAGTGTAGGAACTACGACCTCTACTGCCCATCACTGTTTCGCTGTTGGTTAATGACGATGATATTTCACCGCAGGCACTATGACAAAGCTCTATTAATTGTTCTATCTATATTCAAATATTGGCAAGAAAACACTCACCCGATGCATGAAATCATCCAGCAATTTTTGGTAGCCCTTGATGAGTATCCTGTAGAGAACTTTCATTCTGTACTTCGAGCGAGGACAAGTGTGTCGGATACAGCGGAACAAATCCGAGAGAAGGCCACAGAAATTGATGCCTGTAAGAACGAAATGCTTGAATTTCAATCGTCATTTGTCCCCCGAAGAAAATTCACTTTCAGCAGGAAGCGAATCAACAACCTGAAAACAAGAGCTGCAGAATTCCTGGTCAGCAAGTTTGAGACCATCCATTCCCACCCTGGTAGAGCAACCCAACAGCCATGGCAGAGAAAAGACCGTAGCAAATGGCTCTTACCAAATCTGTTTGGCAATCAAGTGGTTATCAACAGAGTGCTCCCACTTGGATTCTCCTCAGTGAAAAAGTCACCTAACCCAGAAAGGTAAGTTGATAAAACCAAAATATACCATATCCACCCTCAAGAATGGCAGTTCTATAATCTGATTGTTGCAAACTTGCAATCTTTCAGTTCACATCTAAAGAGAATATCCTGTCCAGTTTTAAACCATTCATTGATTTCTATTTTTGACAAAAGACCTTTTATGTATTTATATTGTTGGATAGAAATTGGCACCGATCGAATTATTAATACGCCCTCCATCGGGGACATGCGGAATTTTCAAAAGGCCCCCCAAAAGTGAACCAAAAATGAAGGAATTTCATGGGACGGTTCAATTTTTAAGGCAAACCTGTGGAAATTCCACAGGGTAGGTATAAAAAGTGACTAAAACGTATGAAATTTCCATGGGATGGTCAACAATGGAAAAGAAATTCCAGAGAATACCTGTAGGTCAAAAATCAGTAAGGACTTTTCCAAGGGATAGCTCATAGCTACTAATCCAGAAATAAATAAGGAAAGTCCACTGACTAGGATTTTAATATGTTAATGTTTAACGATGCCGGTAAAACTTTTTTGAACATATAGCTTTAAAATTCGACTTCTAATAGAAGATTTCGTTCGGACGTTGTGAATTCAAAGTGTAATATTTAGGCTTGCGCAAGGCAAAGTTTGAAGACTTATATCTTCGTAACAACGCGATAAATCACAAATCGCCCCGAGGAATCTCAGGAGAAATCCTTTTTGAACAACATATCTTGATTTCATGAAAAATATTAAAAATCCACTTGCAACGAAGCTCGAAAGTGACTGCCTGTGTTTGTTTATAAATTGAACTGTCGTGGACAAATTTTATTGAATTCAGTAGTTTATATTCATCTGAAAACAATAAATGAAAATCGCAAAAATTCCTTTCTTTTTTGTTAGAAGCAAATAATTAGACAAATAGAAGAAAGAGACATGTTGTAGATATATCATACATCCATGTATATATGTATGGCATCATGCATCCGTGTATGTGTGTATGTATGTACTATGTATACTGTTAGCATACATTAGTTAATAATAATATGGCTTCAAGTGCAATTTGGAAAAAAAAAACGTGCACGAGTGAGTTTTCAATGACTATCAAAATTACGCGAGTCCGAAGGACGAGTGCAAGTTGAAGTTTTGAAAAATTCACGAATTTGTGTTCTTCCAAAATACGCACGAGAAATCATGCTATTATTTATTACTTAATATTCGTGGAAAACGTCATGCCGAAGTTCAAGCAAATTGATGGGCACGTGCATGTAAGTTAATATTTTCATACTTTTTGTGTGTGTTAGTGTTGTATGTACTCAGGTGAATATGATGTTTGTGGTGTTGCTCTGAGTGTTCATCAACCAAGCTGAAAAGTTTGCCTGACCACGGTGAGAATCGAACCCGCGACCTGTGGGATACGTCGGAAGTCATCCAAGGGTCGGAGGTCCAAGGGTCGGTATATCAAAACTCTCTTTGGGCACTGAATTTTTTTGACTGTGTATTGCGATGAAATTGGACTGCTCGTAGCCAATGATTATTGAATAATTTTTCATGCATATAAATATGTTTGTAAGATTTGTTAAAACTGTCTTACGTAGTGGTTTTTTCTCCAGCAGTGCAGGAGTATCTGTGGTGAAGCTGCACGATTACGGATTGAAGATTCACCAAATGAATGATTGTAGTGATTTCCACAAAAACAAACTAATAATAATGTTCACGATCCCACAAATTTACAAGTAAATTTTCAAGTAGAGAGGTTTAGATTTGACTTCCCCTATATGGCTACCACTACTTCTCACTGGCTTAGTGCGCATGTGATTAGTTAGTAGCCAATGGTAGCGGTACTGGAAGTCAAATCTAAACCTCTCTATTTGTAACATCCTCATGTTTCGCGCACAAATATATTATTATTCGATCTTTGCGCCAGTCACAGGCGTATCTCTAACTTCAAACGTGAGGTCGATGAGATTGGGATATAAGAGGATCGTGAAGGGGGTTTTAAATCCCAGTTCACCGTCTTATTCTGGTCCAAATCCCAGTTCCAAGCCTAATTTCGGTACAAATCCCAGTTACGAAATCTGAAATCCCATCCATAATAGATATTTAAAAATATTGATGTATTAATAATGAATTAAAAACATTGATTGATGCACACACATACCGTCACCAGTATTGAAGAAAGTCTCTCATTCTGTTTGTTTAACATTCTTGATTTAATTTTTTTTTTATTTAAACAATATTTAGAAACATTTACCCCAAGAGCTTAGAGCTCATCGAGGGGGTTCATGATTTAAATTATTATGATACGCAAAACATTTTCCGAATCGGACGCCATTTTGAATTTTGATCTAATAAACAAACATGGGTACGTCACGACGTCGTTAAAGATAATTCGATGATGTCATTCCATGGAGAACAAACCGTTGAGCTTGAAAACGTGGTGGTAGGGTTGCTCTTCGTGGCAAGAAGGCGAGATCAGGCGAAAATTATGCGTTTCGGTGTGTTTTTCATTACAGAATTAAATTATTTTAATTTAAATCATTTTCATATAAAAAATAGGATTATTGAAGAACTTTAAGCAGTTGCTTCGAATAATAGCATGGGAAACCACTCGGGAAGAGAAATCCTAATCCCATTTTTATCCCTTTCCCAGTGCAGCAAATCCCAAATTTGACAGTCCAAAAAAAAGAGGCCAATCCCATTTTACCCCTTCACGACCCTCATGTAACGGAGACCAAACGTTTCGCCATGTTGAATGAAAGTTGAAATGCAGCATGGCAGCCAAAACGTAAATTGCAAGTATTCTACAGAATTCGTGAAAGATCAGACACGCTTTATGTTCAATGAGTACATTCAAGTAGCAGGTGTTTCTTTCGATAGAATATTTTAGCACACTGGATACTTCGCTAAATCTATCAGGGGAGTTTGGGGAATTGCTCCCCCGAGAAAAGTACGAATGTTTACACCCTCCAAACTGAAATTTTGCATTCTTAGCTTGCATGCATTTGAATTAAGTCACCTCTAAATTTGCCTGAAATAACTCATGAACAGATATTGGGGGAGTGGGGGAGTGTTCTCTCCTCACACATACACCCGATCGCTGCGGCCCTACACGCATACATTAAGAAGGTTGGTTTTGCACATTTTTGGTGCCCTATAATAGAAATCCGCCACATTATTAATTGAATTGGAACTGCGCAAAAATTCTAGAGTAATTCTAGAGTGACTTAAAATGTGCACTTAATAAATCTACCTTTTTGTAGATCAATTTTAACCCTTTTAATAGAGAATAAGAGATAGAAGTACGCATTTTATGTAATATATCTATGATCCGTAATTACTGTCGTGTAAGCGATAAACGATTAACCGTCACATCTATTCGGGATTAACAACCCTGCCTAGAAACAAGATGGCGCCTGACTCACAATCCTGAATGACAAATAGGAATGGATGATCTGCCCGGAAAAGTTCAGGTGGAAGTGGCATGCGTCTCGCATTCACAACAGCGGCAGTAGCAGCTGCAGCTTCTGTACCTTCCTCATTCACATCCACGAATGCCTGATGAATAATGTGGGAAACATACAAGTCTCTATCACCGGTTACCCCCGACAAATCCGCATTATCAACATGAAACAAGTCGCAAATGCCAAGTTGTGACAGGATTTCTTTCATGTTAAACTGGCAATTCAACTTAAACTTTGGAAGACTGACTTCTACACTTTCGTTGCTCATCATTTTATCACATTTGCGGATATACTCCGCATTGAGCTTGCCTTCAAGCTTAACCAAGCCATCAACTTCATGTGGCAACAAAATTATCATCGCCATTTTATTTTCTTTGTACGGCAACTTCAGAACTTGACATGATAATTCTTCATTTCTTCCATATAAATATCTGTCAGTTTTGTTCATCATTTTAATTTTAATAGTTTTAGTTTTGCTCACTTTAAAATCACCAGTATGTGTGTTTCCTTTCTTGAACTGCTTTTCCCAAAACCCTTTGAAATAGACAGCATTCGTGAGTACCAGACGAGTGGCAGCCGTCAACACGCCATCTTTGATTAAGTCTGTGATTTTATCATTCGTTTCTTCTTTTATCCATTGATTAATGGTTTGTCTTGCCTCTGCAGTATGACTTACGAAATCTGCTGCGCCCATTTCCGCTTTGTAATACGACTGCAGTATGTCTGTATATTCTTTCAAAATGGGATATGATTCCTGTGCCCACAAACGATTAGCAAGGCTCAACTCGATTCCGGAACATTTCCCTGATGTAGACAAGATGGACTCTTGTAGTGAATGCATCATTTCATGGACAGTTTCGGGTTTATTCCAGTTCATGACTTGCTCGATTTCCTTTGCTGTATTGCCTTTAGTTCCAGCGTATGTCATGGCCAGTGCAACATAGATACTTGCTGGCGAGTAAAACATGTTTTCTTTCGGTTTATTTATCACTAGTTTTGAATACAAAGCCATGGTGAACTTGTTTACTGAATCGCTGGCGAGATTAAGCATCGACATATTTCGAATATATCGATAGCAAGACTAGAGAAGCGAAATTACACAGCTGTATTTATCATTTATGCAAGTGAAAATAATTCGTTTATAATTGTCATGAAGATGAAAATATGCAAGTTATTTCCGTTTGTGACCGCTTGACGCCTACTGTGTTTGCATATTTGCCAGACTGCATTCCGTTTAAGTGCTTTGAATACAATTTATTGCATTATAAACCGTAACTTATTTTATATAAATAATAAATCATAGGACAAATTGACGCATGGGAAAACATGGATATCAGTTTGGCCCCGTTTACATGAGACCAGGGCAGGGGCCGGTTGTATAAAACTCTTAATTACTTTTTTAATCACTATTTTGTAGTTACATAGTGATTAACTCTCAAATACGCGCTTCTTATTGGATGTAAGAATACAAATTTACAATTACACGTATCGAAAGGGCTTAATACACAGTTACAGTAGATCAGTAGGACTTATGACGCTTCACAGCACACCATGCATATTTTGCATTTTCAGTGTTAATCCTTAAACTCATTGTTAAAAAGTAATCACCGTGGTGGTTATTGTCATTATTGGTATTGTTTTGCATCCATGTTTTGTCGTTATCGGAAAATGTATGGCTTTAATATAAGTTGTCACTATTTTTACTTGCATTATTTCAATATAGTTTGTAAATCTCAGAAGCGAAGGTTAGAACTTGCCAATAGGCAATACTCCAATAATATACGTTTCAAAAAAGACACAAAAGCTTTTAGTTTTGCAGAGTTACATTCTCAAATGTTTAAGGCACTAATAAAATCAAAGTATCATGACATTATTTGAATAAAGCACACCACATATATAAGTCAAGAATCAAGATTACATTATAATTACTGACACTGACATGGAAAGTTGACGATTCAATGGACAATAGTCAATACGCTTCCCAACACATTCCATAGATTTTTTATTAATCCTATAGTTTATTGTTAGCAAGTGATTACTGTGGCGGCTATTGTTAACACTGGTATTGATAAAATTTGCAAGCGATTGTTTTTATAATATGTTATCATTGTTATGTGAATGTAAACTGCATGCCAGAAGAATACGACAACATGATTTTATGCGACCTCTGTCGGCAATGGTTCCACTTTAGATGTGTAGAATATGACACTAGTCTAAGTACCTCAGTGAAATAAATAAATAAATCACACAAATCTTTTCAACTTGCAATCGTTTTGTTTTTAGATAAAAAATTCAAAATCTATATGGTGGGGGGGGGGGCGAAATTCCTAAAGGGGGCGATATTCCTAGGAGATTCGCCCCGGGGGCGAATATCCTAGGCATATCACCCCCCCCTTTTGAGAGGGGGGCGAATCTCCTGGGGGGCGAATCTCCTGTGACACCGGGCTTAATACAAATTAACACAAAATTTGCAAATTTCGTAGAGCTATATTTTCGTCATTTTACAACATTTTGCAACCAAACTATGCAGTTTTACTAATTTTAACATGCTCTTTCTAGCTGTGCTGATGGATTTTTTCTTCTTGCCTAGATCAAAATTTAGTCTATAGTATAGCTGGAATCATCAATTGGGCTTGATGATTCCCCTTATTACGTTTTCGTAGCGCTTTGCATTGTGGTTATAGTGGTATCACTGATAAAGATAGCGGCCTCGAATGAAAATATTTAAAGTTGGTTATCACGCACCTGACCCTATCTTTTTTTAAAAGTTCTTGGCATGGGTCAGGACAAAAAAAGAAGCCATCTTGAATATCAGTGATACCATTATAACCACAATGCAAAGCGCTACGAAAACATGATAAGGGGGATCTACTATTATATTAAGGTGATGCGAGTGTCATGGGCATGGGTAATTATTATTTAGTATACACTCAACCACGGACCATATAATTATAACAAATCCAGCATTATGATTGGCCACTCAAACATGGACCATTACGTAAGGGTCCATGGTTGAGAAAAATGAAAACAAGCGGCCAAAAAATGGCTGTAAACTCCCGTTTTGCAGAGAACGTTTCCGACGAATTTTTAGAAAACCTGATAGATTGATTTATTCTATCCTAATTCTATTCCTTTAAATACCATGGAATAAAGCTTTTTAATGGTAAGAAACAAAATACAATCGTACTTTATAGATAAATCTACTTTTATTTGCCACGAAGAGTAGTTAAATAACGTTTTCGAGAGTTGTAGTAGAAAAACTGTGTTTTCTAGAAGCCTGGTGGAAACCGTGTTTTCTACGCTGCAACCACAGAAAGAAACGGTAGCCAGTTCAAAATGGGCCATGCAGAGATCCACTCAAGACCATGTCGAAAGCCGCTGGAATAGACCCTTACAAACCATTGGCATTGCATTCGAGCTAGATCTGTTACTATTTTGTCCCACTCCAATGTAGAGGTTATATAGACACATCAAGGTCAGTGTCACTGGGCACAAACCACTAGATACCTCCATTCAATCCTACAACTCGCCAGTCTCGCCGGCTTCCTTCCAACAGAAGGAAAACCTGTCGAGTATTTTGAGTAGCTTCGTTTATTAAACAGTACATATAGCATAGCATTGAGATTAGATTCAAATCCGACTGTCAAGATATTAGGGCGCATTCATCGATAAGGCCATATAAAATAAATTCCTTGATTCTCATCACCGCCCGACGATATTTTGGTTTCCGCGTTGATATATTTTTGTATTTTGTTATAAAATATAAATTTACCGCCCGACCGAGCACCTTCAGAGATTCGGTTATTTTTATATTTTATATTGGAATTTTTGCGATATAAAATTGTTTTATCGTTAATATTACAACATGGTAAGGGATGCTTGGAATACTGAAGGAAAAAATGGGCTTTTAGCCTTATTACAACAATTTGTGTGGACCCTTGTGCATGTTCATTAGCGCATGTGCAATTATCCACTTATATAGCGTTTTTCTATAATATATTTAAGGTGGCTCCCTACAGTTATTCTTGTTTAAGCAATAATTCCGTAAAACAGGCTTATTTGTGCAGAACGCGAATTCTTTTCGCCTTGGTGGCAATATTGGTCACCTAAGGAATATTTCGAACTAGATTTCGACGATGTCAATGTTCCCATGGCAACATGACGACAGCATAAAGCCTTCCAATTTAACCCATAAATGTGCCGCTATTTCAAAAACGATGTCGGTGACCTATCTTTTTTATTTCATATATCAATAGGGAATGATGCTCTGCAACTGTGGTGAAAGTTTAAAAAAATTCTGTAGTGTGTGATTTTTTTAAAAGCGAAAAATTTATTGCGAAATTTCCACACTACAGATTTTTTTAAATTTGAAATTTATAAAATTTACCGCAAAATAAATTCGTGGTCAAAATTTGAAGATAGGTCACCGATGAAACTAATGAGTAAAATGCAAATAAAGTTAGAAAATAGCCTCGTGTAACTCGAGAAATTCCCTTATTGAAAAGCGTCGCTGACTAGTGAAATATTGTACGCGGGCGCAGAACGAGTTTTCATTCAGCAAAATCGAGCCGCAATGTTGTTTTTACTGTTTTGTTTTTGTCAACTTTTCGATTTATTTGAGTGCTGTGGACAGCCAAGGATTATTGTGAAGGATTAAATCGATGAAAACAAGGTTGAAGCTAATTGAATCCTGCCGTTTACTTAATCTATGAGCTGTAACAGCCTATTAACAGGTGGACGT